GCCCTGTGGGTGTTGTGGGCTGTCCTCACCTCATGGTTACTGTGGCACTGCCATCAACCCCTGAAGGGCAGGTCTGGTGTGTAGGAAGGAGGGTCAGGAGCCCCCGTCCACGCAACCCCTGTCACCCCTTCTCTGTCCTTCTGTTCAGACTTTTCTCATCCTCCCTGGTGGGGGGGGGGGGGGAGGTGCAGGGTGACCCAGTTGAAACCAGCTCCCATTCAGCATTATCAAGTTGTGGGAAGTTTTAGAGAGGGCACCAAGGCAGAGACGCCATCGATAGTTGGCCAGTCTATGTAGTTCAGGGTTAAGCACTAGATGGCCATTGTGGTGATATAGTGATAACAAAAACATCATCATCACTTCAGCAGAGACCCAGAGGGGTCACTCTTGCCCAGTGTTTGCACCTGCAAGTGGAAGCTCAGGGCAGGAGTCAGACATTTTGGAGGAAGATGTTCCCTAACGTAACCCCAGAGCATGTCAAGAAGAAACCTAACAGTCACTTGGAATAGGGGACCGCCAGCACTTGCCGAAGGTGAGGCCCAGGTGCACGTGCTCTGTCTGTCCCCTCCCTAACCCTTGTCGACATCACAGAAGGTGACTGCTGGTGGACCGACCACCAGTCTAGTCTGATAGGTTCAGTGGTCAGGGGAGCTCAAGTCCCAAAGTTTTGGTGTTGTTGAGGCCCTGGGAGGGTGACAACAACCAAAGATTGTCAGGGAAGGAAACAAGCTACATTTCCTTAGACGTGAGACTTTGTAAACGCAGCACAAGCTGTTTGCAGGCACGGTAACAGGAAACCAGAGGGAGATAGTCCAGAGTAGCTGAAATGGGCTTGTGGCTTAACACATGGCGGTTTTATTTCTCACGTGAGGCGGGAGGGTCTGGGCTGCCTTAGGGCTTAGCAGCACCCCCAGTCTCCTCTGTGTATCCCCCTCCCTTCTTAACGTGTGGTTTTCATCCTTCTGAAAAAAGGGGACAGAGGGGAAGCAGTGCGTATCCTGTGTTCACCCCCAGCTGCCAGCAAGTCTCAGAGTTCTATTTTCTCTACAACAGAGGATGCAAGGGAGAAAGGCACTGGATGTGGATTAAGCAACCCTCACGCAGTGTTTGCTACTCTTGCAAGCAACGGGTTTTCCGAGGTTATGTGATTATGAGGAAAAAGAAGTGGGAGGACAAGGCTTGGAGACTGCCCTCTGTGTCTAATGGCCCCTGCTGTATCCCTGCTGCACAGTGAGGTTGGAAGTATGTGTGTGACGGCTAGACTTAACTGGGCTCTAGTCCTCATTCTATCAGTAGCTGTTTTATCTCTCTGAGCCACAGTCTCCTTATCTGTGGAATGAAAATACTGCTACTGACTTTATTAGATTATTGTGAAGATTCATCGAGACTCCTCAGGCACTTTTCCTTGTATATAAAAGATATTCAGTAAATGTTAACCTCCTTCCTCACAAAGAGACAGTCTAGGACCAAGAGACAGACTGCAAATCATCAGAAACTTGAGAGCCAGACTTTGCTGATTTGGAGTGAGCTGTGGTCCATGAGAACAGAAACAGATTGTTGGTTATAACCATGGGCAGCACAGATGTGTCTGACTTCAGTAAACATGGTCTGAGAGGTTGCAGAATAAGAAGGAAGCTGACCTTGAGAGTCCAAAGGGAAGGATTCAGGAAGGCAGAGGAAGTCAGTGTGGGCTGCTGGGCATGGCTGCTGGGAAACTGAGATGCAGGCTAGCAAAGGCTACAGTCAGGTACAAATTGGGAGGAAGTAGCTCTTGGGAGCAGCGAGAGAGGGAACCAAGGGCTAAGGTCTGGGGTCCTGCTCAGAGAACCCCACTTTAGTGAGCAGCTGGGGTAAGTTGTTCAGAGGAAGTTGTATGTAACGTCATTTGGGCTCACTTCTTGTGTCTATCCAGTCCTTGCATTCACAGTTCTGGAACACCCTTTTTTCCCCTCACTCTCCCACTCCCTCTGACATATCCCATTTCCTTGGGCACATGGAGCCTCTGACCTTCTTAGCATAATCTTTCCTCTTAGGAAACTCTCCACCCTTTTCAGACTTACTTTGTTCTCACTTTTCCCTCTTTCTGGATTGCTCTTCCTACCAGTCACTGTAGGATGAATTCTTTGCTACCATACTCTTCTCTTAGGATGTGCACCTTTTAGTAGTCGGCCTAGCACACAATTGCTGTTGAATAGTTGTTGTTGTTGTTAAGTGCCGTCGAGTCGATTCCGACCCATAGCGACCCTGTATAGAGTTTCCTAGGAGCAGCTGATGAGCTTGAACCGCTGACCTTGCAGTTCAAATGGTTTTGCAATCTGGCGCATTAACCCACAGCGCCACACCAGTAGCGCTATGAGTCGTACTAGGAGTAGGAACCTTAGATAAGAATACAGTCATTAAGACCATGGGTGAGCCATTTTGGCTTCTCTGTGGGGGAAGGAAAACGACAGGCTGGTAGAATTGTGAATGGGGAACTGGACCTGAAAAAGGAGGGGCTTTTTCGAGACAGGGAAATAAAACTTTGCGGGTCAGCCATGCGTCATGTCTGCCTGTGTCTACTGGGTTGGGCGCCCGATTTTGTAAAATCGAATAAAGAAAACCTCTGGTGTTAAAATGAGTACAGATTGAATTACTTGAGCGTTTGTTGGTATGGCCAAAGTTTCTCACAGCACTGACTGGATTAGCAATATTGCAATATTGAAAGGAGTCCTGGTGTGGCGCTGTGGTTCAGTGCGCTGGATTGCAAGGTCACTTTGAACCTCAAGGCTGGCGGTTCAAGTTCACCAGCATCTCCGCAGAAACCTTATTCAGGGTCACTATGAGTGGAGTCCTGGTGTGGCGCTGTGGGTTAATGCGCCAGACTGTAAAGCTGTTTGAACTGCAAGGTTGGTGGTTCAAGCTCACCAGCTGCTCCTCGGAAACCCTATCCAGGGTCGCTATGGGTCGGGATCAACTCGACGGCACCTCACAACACAACAACGAGTCGGAAGAGACTTGACGGCACTTAAAAACAACATTGAATGGAAATGATGAAAGTGGACCTTGCTCCCAATCTTAGAAGAAAAGGGTTTAATGTTTCATCATTAAGTTATGTGTTGAGTTGGTTTGGGCTCATAGCAAGGCTGTAAATCTCTGCAGGAGCAGAAATCATCATCTTTCTCCCTTGGAGCGGCTGGGTGGTGGGCTAAAACCGCCCTGTGGTTCATAGTTCAGTGTTTATCCTACAGAGCCACCGTGCTCTCCAATTAGCTGTAGGTTTTGGGTTTGTTTTTTTGTAATATGAGTTGAGGGAGTTTCTATTTATAGTTGGTTATTAGCATTTAATCTTTGACACTCTCTTCAAAAGGTGGAGCTTAATTCATCTAACCTTGAATTTGGGATGCACGCATAGTGTAGGGCTACTAACGGCAAGGAATGCAGTTCAAACCCACCAGTCGCTCCGTAGGAGAAAAATGAGGCTATTTGCTCTAGTAACAATTTATATTCTCAGAAACCCTAGGGTCCTTATGAGTCAAAATCCACAAATGGCAGTGGTGCTTAATGAACCGAACAAACCAGAAGTGACTGTGTGACTTTGAACCCGCGACACCAGGGATCCTTTGGTTTCCTTTCTGCCGAGCCGGAACACGTCGCATAGGGACTCGGCTGGGGGAGGGAGGTCACAGGTAAGAGGGACAGGATCTGGGGTTATACACAGGAGCCAGGACGTTCCGTTAGTGGCAGCGGGGCGAGTCCGTAGGCTGGTGCAACGCACCTCCGCTACTCTACTCTGGCCCCGCGGACCACAGAGGGCGGGGTCCTCCAGGCTTCCTAGAGCGTCCAAAAACGGCTTCGAGGGCGGCTCTGGCAATCACGAGTCGCTTCCGACTGCCGCCGTAGCTCCTCTCTTCAGTTCCGGATCGCGGGCCCCAGCTACGGTAGGGCGTGGGAGCAGGTCCTCGGCCAGTGTGCGTGCAGTGGGGTCGCCTTTCCTAGGCTGGCGGAAGGCGCGAAGTGGAACGTGACCCATCCCGGGAGCTCTGGAGACTGGGGGGTTTTCCGTCCGAGGAAAGATCTACCCGGTGCCTTGCGTTGGGGCTGAGGACGAGCGCGCCCCGCACACACGGTAGAGACGCAGGTACTGAGGGGGGCCGCCCGTTCCTGGACTGCCGCTCGTAGGGGATCTCGGGAAATAGGGTCTGGGCAGCAGGGCTGTGCTGAGCCCTGGCCCTAGCTAGGTGCACATCGGAGACTAGGGTGGTGAAACCTGGGCGGGCTTCCTCTGCTTCCCGGCTCCCCCGTGCCCCGTAGTGCTGGGAGGGGAGCTGTGCTTTGAGGATCTCTATTGCAGCATTTGTGGGGTTGTGGAAGCGTGTAGAGCTTACTTGTGATGTACTGTGGTGTGCGCTGCTCCTCAGATACCCCCCAGTCCTCTCCTTCAGATAGTGCATGCAGTTACTGCCACGCGTGGTCAGTGTAAGCGTTCATTTTCCCTCCGGGGCTGCCACACAAGCCGTGGGACTTCGTAGTAGCTAGGCCTGGCTTTTGGCAGGTCATAGTTCCGTTTCCTTGTCTGTAAAGTAAGTGATGACCAGCTCTTGTGGGACTGATGAGGGTGGCTGCAGTGGCTGTTCCCCTGGGCTGCCTGGACCTTTGTCCCCGTTCATCTTTCACCCAGACTTACATGAAGCAAGCAGTGTGTGTGCTTCCCTATTCCTGGATTCTAACTTCCCTTTCTTCTACCCAGCTCCTGCTCATCCTTCTGTCTCGGCCACCCCTTCCTCTGGGAGGCATCTCCTCATTCCAGGTAATGTGGACGCCTTTGCTACCTGCCCAGCACACGTCTGCCGTCAGTAGTTAACAGTGTGGGTTTCCTGAAGGCAGGGGCGACATCAGTGGCCATTTGTTGTAATGGTACATGAAGTTACTGGGCTTCGTCTCTTCCCGTCTCTCCTTCTCCAGGCAGCAGCATCTGAGGCACCTGTCCTCTCAGTTGGTGGTTTGAGGAGCAGGAAGCAGTGATGTCAGCTGTGGGAGCTGCAGCCCCATACCTGCATCTTCCTGCTGATGGTCACAGTGGCCGGGGCAGTTTCCTGGGAGTCCAGCTCCCTCCTGAGGTGGCAGCAATGGCCCGACTCCTGGGGGAGCTGGACAGGAGCAAGTTTCGAAAGTTGCTAAAGCTGGTTGTCAGCAGCCTGCATGGGGAGGACTGCCGAGAGGCAGTGCAGAGCCTTGGAGCCAGCATGGGCCTGCCGGAAGAGCGCCTGGGCATTCTCCTGGCAGGTGTGCACACCCTGCTCCGACAGGCCCTGCGGCTACCCCCGGCCAGCTTGAAACTTGAGGCCTTCAAGAGCGAGCTCCAGGAACTTTGCATCCCCCAGGACCTGGCTGGGGACCTGGCCAGTGTAGTGTTTGGGAGCCAGCGGCCCCTTCTGGATTCTGTGGCCAGGCAGCAGGGAGCCTGGCTGCCCCACATGGCCAACTTCCGGTGGCGGGTGGATGTGGCCATCTCTACAAGCTCCCTGTCCCGCTCCCTTCGGCCGAGCGTCCTGATGCAGCTAGAGCTCTCTGATGGGTCGGTATACTGCTTTGAAGTCCCCACGGCCAAATTCCAGGAGCTGAGATATGGTGTGGCCGTGATCCTGAAGGAGATGGCCGATCTGGAGAAGAGGTGTGACCACAAACTCCAGGACTGAGACCACCAGGATGGCCTCATGGATATGGCCCCCGCTTGTCCTTGTTTCAGCGTGGCATTGCAGCTCCGGAGTGTGACGACTGAGTCTTTTTTGTTTGTTTTTTCGTTGGAAAACACAGCTGTGCCTGCTTTTTCTTTTGAATTAAATCAGCCTTAAAACACCTGTCCTCCTCAGTGGGTATCAGAGGAGAGGGAAGCAGGGGTCCTCCTTGGTACTTAAGGAGGGGGTGTGCCGAGGCCACGGCAGCATGTCACCCTCAGCACCACTGCACTCCACATAGGGCCTTGGGTGCTGTTCTCTGCAGAGCCTGGTCCTCTTTGCTGTCAGATCCTGTTCCCCTGGCAGTGCCCCTGTCTCCTGAAGCCCTTTTAGTTGGTCTTGTGTGGGGAACCCAAGTCTTGAGTGAGTAAATGAGCCCTGCTCAGCCCAGGTGTGAATGCACTTTGGCGCCTGCCTTGCCTCTACTGCCAAACTTGACATTTTCCAAGCTCCCTGCTCCACGTGGACAGCCTCTCTCTGTCCTCTCCCTCTGTGTATACGTGGGGACTTGGGCTACCTGGCAGAGGACGAGGCTGCCTTCTTTTCCACTCTTGGAAATTGGCGGTATATTTGGGTAAAGAACTTTACCAAAAACACAAACAACAACTTTACAGTACTCCTGCCATCGACGGCCCTGGAAACATTCTGACCTGTTCTTCCCCGATTTATACTTAATGCAGTATGTGTTTGAGTGTAGACACACTGTGCATGTCTGTACATGTCTGTGATGGTGTGTGTGTGTATGTCTTTCTATGTGTGTTAACATGGCTTTGTTCATGTAACTTTTCCTGAGGAGAGCAATTGTGTTTAATAGCTATAGAACAAAACATACCATTCAGGCGCATGTGTTGTAGTCTTCTTTCCAGTTTGTTTTTAGCTATTAAATCCACCCAGAGATGTTGGTGTTCCTCTTCAAACAACTTCAAGTGGAAGCCTGGAGCACTAGCGTGTGAATATTTTATAGCCTTTCTCTTGCTGAATTGTGACCCCACTAAGCTGGTTTTTTCATTCATCTTCTTGAGTGCCCCCTGTGCCATGCTGTGGCAAAACAGTCTTGAGCACATATGAGCTCTCAGTTCGCCCGCACAAAGGGTTTGTAGGCTGGCACCAATATCTGCAGGTACACCCATGTTACAGGGACACAGTGACACTCAGCAGTAGGATTGGCCCAGTGTTAGCTCATTGGGAGCTGGTGTTTGTCTACCTTTTGACCTCCAGATCCCTCTCCCTGGTGATGGAGTACCCTTCCAGCCATTGACATTGGGTGTGTTTCTGTTTTGTGAGGAGTGGGACTTAAAGGGACAGTGTGCCCATCCCCAGGGGAGACTGAAGGATTCTTGTCCCTGCTCACTCTCACATTCCTGAGTAGCTACTGGTCTTAAAATACGGGGACACACTGAAGCCAAACCAACTGGTATTTTCAGTCACCTTATTCATATGCATATGAAAGCTAGACAATAAGGAAGACCAGAGAAAAATTGATGCATTTGAGTTAGGGTGTTGGTGAAGAGTGTTGAAAGTACTGTAGGCTCACAGAAGAACCAACACATCTATTGGAAGAAGCATAGTCAGATGCTCCTTAGAAGCCAGGATGGCAAGACTTCATCTAGTTTTGTAAATGTTTTCAGTAGGAACCAGTCCTTGGAGAAGAACATCATGCTTGGTAAAATGGAGAATCAGTGAAAAGGAGGAAGACTGCCAGTGGGGTGGCTTGACTCGGAACAACATGCGACTCAAATTTAACAAGTGTGAGGCTGGCTCAGGTCCAGGCAGTGGTTTTGTCTGTTGATGGCACCTAACAACTCTCACCTGTCTGCATTCACCTGGGGCAAATCTCTCCTCCATCTGGACAGTGGCCTCGTGTTCTTTTCCTCGCCTCAGTTACCTCTGTGTCCTAGAAGGTCCCCAAGTTAACATCTTCAATGTTATTTATTGAATCAGCTGCAAGCCTGACTTATGGGCAGCTCAAGGGACAAGCAGAGATTTTCCCCATCTTCCTTTAATTTTTTCCATCTAGTATGTATTCCTGAGCCTTGGCCTATTGTACCTTGTTGCAGTCACAAACACAGGGATTGGTCCTTTGCTGCCCTCTCCAAGCAGAGGATGCTGTTTTAGTGGGGCACCCTGGCTCTCCTTACCCTCTGACTGCATGGCAGGAAGAGTGAGTTTGCTGAGGTCAGAGAAGGCATGGGTGGCTCCGGCTCTTCTAGAGTCTTCTCCCCTTCACTTTGCCTGCCTACAGACAGGACACTCTGGGGTCTGCTCTCTACCATCACACACGGGCTCCCTGTGACTGGGTGAGTCAGTCAGTTCAGAAGAGTTACCAAGCCCTTTTGGCTGCAGATCCAAACTCGTATTTCCTAATTGGTTTTATAATTTATAAAGCTTTTTTTTTTTCCCCTTTAACTCCTGCTGCCTGAATTCTGGTGGATTTTCTTTTTTTCATGGATCCTGGAAGTGCAAGTACTCTATGTACCTCCATTCAGCTAGTGAAGGAAATGCAGACTCTTGTCCACTTTTGTGCAACAAATTCTCTAGGTAGCAAGTGCCTCTGGAGAGAGAAGGCCTGGGTCTTCCTCCATAGTACTTTCTAAGAGATTGGTGCATTTAGTGTAAATGTGAGGAATAAGAAAGATCCTGATCCCCTGGCAGTGCCCCTGTCTCCTGAAGCCCTTTTAGTTGGCCTTGTGTGGGGAACCCAAGTCTTGAGTGAGTAAATGGGCCCTGCTCAGCCCAGGCCTATATAGTTCATACTCCTCTCTCCTCCACATAACTGCTTCAGGTGTAGGTCCCAAGTGGATACATTGAGCAGGCAGTTCTCTATACAGGATTGGAACCCAGAATAAAAGATCTGGTGTGGAGATGAAAATTGGGGAATTTACATGTAAATTGTGATCGAAGGTGTGAGATAGAGTAAGCTTTCTTAAAGATGTAGCACAAAATGAGAGGCTGCATTATATGAACAAGTAAGTGGCATTAGGATTGGAGAAAGACTCATTAACAACCTGTGCTATGCAGTTGATTCAGCCTTGCTTACTGAAAGTGAGGAGGACTTATAATACTTCCTGATGAAAATCAAAGACCACAGCCTTCAGTATGGGTTACATGTCAATGTAAAGAAAACAAAAAACCTCACCACTGGACCAATAAACAACATCCATATAAATGGAGAACAGATTGAAATTGTCAAAGTCTTCATTTTGCTTGGATCCACCATCAACACTCATGGAAGCAGCAGTCAGGAAGTCAAATGACATATTGCATTAGGCCAATCTGCAGCACAGGACCTCTTTAAAGTGTTGAAGAGCAAAGATGTCAGTTTAAGAACTAAGGTGCACCTGACCCAAGCCATGGTATTTCCAATAACCTCATATGCATGTCAACGTTGGACAGTGAATAAGGAAGATTGTACAAGAATTGATACTTTTTTTTTTTTTTTAAGAATTGATACATTTGAGTTAGATAGTGTTGGAGAAAAATGTTGAAAGTACCATGGACTGCCAAAAGAACAAACCAATCTGTGTTGGAAGAAGTACAGCCAGAGTGCTCCTTGGAAGCCAGGATGGCCAGACTTCGTCTCATACTTAGAATATATCAGGAAAGACCAATCCCTGGAGAAGGATATCATGTTTGGTAAAGTGGAGGGTCAGAGAAAAAGAGGAAGACCCCCAACGAGATGGATTGGCACAGTAGCAGCCTCAATGGGATCAAACATGGCAGTGATTGTGAGGCTGGCCCAGGACCAGGAAATGTTTCATTCTGTGTTCCTCTGGGAACAAAAGAATGCAATTTCCAACTCCCTCCCTATTTTGTGCTGAGTCTGGCAGTTCCTACTTCATCTTCTTGGGTTTAACTGCAGGCTGCATGGTTGCATTCTGGAGTTGGCTCGTTCACAGGAGAGTGAACGGAAGACAACTTATCTACCTATTACCCTCTTGGTGATAGAAAAACACTGAGATGGGCATCCTTGTCTTTGTATATCTTTTACTGTTTTCTTGGGTAGATTCCTAGATGTAGCATTAGCTGCATAGAGGATGTAAGTGTGGTGCCATAGGTCCACCTCAAGGTCGGTTTGAACCACAAGGTTGGCAGTTCAAACTCACCACCTGCTCCTCAGAAACCCTATACAGGGTCCCTATGAGTCTGAATTGACTCAACATCACTTATCAACAAAACCCAAAACTGTCGCAGACCAGCACGACACACTTATTAGGGGGTCCTAGAGAGATGTGTGGTGTCGGCGAAGAAATGAAGCACAGAATCAATGGGTCTCGATGAATGGTGAATCTTCTCTTTTTATTTCAGATTCTCAAACAGTTTTTATACTACTCTATACCATCAATCTATTAATCATTCTTTTCAAAGTAGTGGTCTAAATCATACATATTAATCATTTCAATATAGAACATTAAGAATATCAAAATCTTCCTTGTTCCCTTTACGTAGTTAGACAATATGTGATTTCCGTAACTAACCCTTATTTTTCTAAAAATGTCATGTTAACCTTTACAAGGATTTTGTTACCCTTAACTTCCTATTCTCTGAAACTCATCAACTGTAACTAGGTCCAAATGTTTCTAAGGCTGTTAAGATTTGTTTAAACATTCTATACCTTGCTACTCCCCATGGATCTAAATTCCTAATTGTAATCTCAAATACAAATTATGTTTTCAATTAACTTCATACATTACTAATTTCTGAAAATTAAAACTTCTCGAGCTCTCACAAAGTTTTTAACTATAACCCTAGCAGTCTCCGTGGCTCCTACATCACGGTTCAGCTATTTCAATGACTACTGTTTGTGATTAAAGTGAAACAGGTGCCAGATTATGATCTCAACTCTATACTGGCAGTGTTTCAACTGCTTTAAAATGTCTGATTATCAAACTATAAAAATCAAAAATATGTATATTTCTTAAGTCAGAATAACAAGTATAATACTGATTACTTATAACATTGATTCTTCTTAAAATGATAGAATTTAAAAGAAACTACAAAGCCAGCAAGGTCCCCGCATGAAATCTCCCCTTGAGGCTCTGCCAAGTCAACGAGGCATCCATCATCCATCGCTGCTCTGCAGTACAGTGGACTTTCTTCATGCATAGGGTCTCCTGCTGCTCTGTGTTGTTGCAATGTATTTGTTATCAGAGCCATCTTGGGCCCCTGCCACAAAACTAAACTCATAATGACCCTGTGTAGGGTTTCCATTACTGTCAGCCTTTATGGGAACAGACAGCCTGATCTTTCTCCTACAAAGCAACTTGTAGGTTTGAACCACTCACCTGGCAGTAACTCAGTAAGTATTCCATGGCACCACCATACTTATTATAAATGTTTAAGGCACCCTTACGGCCCAGTGGGTTAGGCGCTAGGCAGCTAGCCAATGGCTCAAACCCACCAGCTGTTCTGGAGAAAATGATGAGGCGGTTTGTTTCCATAAAGATTGGCAACCTTAAGGAACAATTCTCCATCCAGTCGGGTTTCTATGAGTTGAAATCGGTTAATCACATTCCCAACAGCAGAGTTGGTGTCTTCCCAGCATTGCAAAATTTATACATGTTAAGTGCCCTTGAGACGGTTCCCACCCAATAGCGACCCTGTATAGGGTTTCCAAGAAGTAGCTGGTGAGCTTGAACCACCGACCTTGCAGTTCAAACGGCTTTGCAGTCTGGCGCATTAATCCACAGTGCCACAATCACGTGTGATAACTATGCGTGATGCTTATTTTAAACTTTTAGATTGTTGTTAAGTGCCATCGAGTCAGTTCTGACTCAAATCGACCCTGTCGTCCTTGCCCTCATTTAATCTGTTTATTTTGTCCATCTACAATATTTCCTCAGTTTTATCAAGCAGGGGGCTCTGTAGGTAAGCAATGGACTGATCAGTATTTTTGTTCCGTTTTACTTGAATCTATACGCGATTTTGTTATCAAGAGAATACATGGTGTATCCGAGTGCTGTGGGCAGCCTGCAAGAGGGCAGACTTACAGCTGGTGCCCAGACGGAGAGTCACGTGGGGCGAATCCCAGTTAACGTAAAAGCGCCCACCGTCCACGCACGAAGGAAGCGTCGCTGGGCTGGAGGGCAGGCAGGCGCGGGCGAGCAGCGGAAAGAAGCTCATCCAAGACTTCCCGTTGGCCCCCCACGCCCCAGCCACCTCTCATCCGGGTCCCACTGGACTCATAGGTACCATGGTAACAGGATCTTAGACACGAATTCTCTTGTGATCCTAGACCCGCCCCGGAAGTGCCCTGGGGACGGGGTCACAGCCGGGCGAGTCTCCTGGGGGAGCTAGGCATTCTCCCGCTGACTTGGGAGCTGGGCGGGGCGGTCCGCGTGCGCAGCTTGACTTACCAGTGCCAGCCCCGCCCTCTAGCCCCGCCCATTTCTGCCCTCTCCAAGATCCCACGCTGTCCTAACCTGGGGTCCTGCAGGGCTGCGTCAGGTGCACAGCCCCTCTGAGGCTGGCTGGGTCACAGGTGAGCCTCCCCTAGGGCACAGCCTGCAGAGGTGACTGAGGAAGCTAGCTAGGTAACTTCACATGATGGAAAGTGGGTTTACATAGGGGAACGTGGGGGGCCCTGTGAGCCTGGGAGGGCTCGACTGAGGTTCAAGAGGTGACGGGGTACCAGGCCGAGATTTAAGGGAAGACGGCCGCTCAGTGTTCAGTGTGAGAAGCTCTGGACTGCGAACCACAAGGCCTGCCGTTTGAGCCCGCCAGCAGCTTCATTGGAGAAAGATGTTTTCTGCTCCCGTGACGATTTAAAGCCTCAGAAACGCTATACAGGGTCCCTATGAGTGGGGAACCAACTTGACGGCACTTAACAACAACAAAGCCATGCAGGGGAAGCGTGGAGGACTCTGGGTTGGGAGCTGGAGGGCAGGCGGCCTCGTGGGGAGACACAGAGATGGGGTGTAGCCATGGAGGAGCTGCTTGGTCCAAGGGGGTGTGGGGAAGGGCTGAGGATGACAGGGTTCTGTCCGCACCACCACCCTCCCGCATCCTCACACTCAGGCTGGGCTGCACAGCCTTTGCCAGGGACCCCAGGGCCTTTCATCCCTGGATGGGGCCCCATCTAGACTCTAGCAGTCCTGTAAACACTTTTAGCAGGCATTTCGAGAGGGATTCTATGATGCGTCTTCCAGTGCCTGGAATGACAGGTCTCACATCTTATCCAACCAGGTAGTCATATTGTGGCAGAAGGAACTCAACCTGAAAATCTTAAACAGCAAAATTTATTGCCCTGGGCCAGAGTGTCAGCTCAAGCACAAATCACTCTGACCCGGAAGTGAGCAGGGAAATGGGGTTTTATACAAAAACACGGAGTGGTTAAAACAAACAGACTCGTCTTGTTACCTGGGGTGGAAAATTCCAGCAGACCCTTATCTTGTAAGTGGGAGTAAATCCACCAATAAACCCTTATCTTGTTTGTATGGATGGGCTAAGTTTTTATCCTGTTTGTTCAGGTGTCCTTGGGTCATTCTGACCTTCGTGGTTTTTCTGTAAGAAGTTTATTTTTCCATAGGATGGGGAGGGGAGGAAGGGGGGACAGGGTGAGATGGGGCTGAAAGGACTTAGCGGATACCTAGTTTAAATGGGGGCTGTTAGTCACACCAGGGTCGCTTTCCATTGGTGGTCCTTCACTCCACATACTCCACATCCCTGAGACTTGGAAGTAATGGAGTGACTTAGTGGCCGAATCCTAGCAGGAACTGAGTCTGGGTCTCCCTTGTGTGTGTGTGCACCTGAGGGTAAGTTGAGTTGAGGGGAGGTCCCAGGTCAGGCAGCTTCATGAGGTCTTCATATCCTCCTTTAGGATTCCCCCATGCACAGAATGGCAACGGAGCGTCCAATACCCAGGCCCCTGGTGAGTCGACCTTCCTCCCTACTTCTCCCCCACACCCCATTTCTTACTCCACTTTGCAGCAACAGGGAAACCAAGGGTGTCATAGTATCCTCAAAGAAAGGGTTCTGGGATCTAGATTCATATCTTCCCCTGAGAAGTGTCTCTAAGGACTCACTTGGAGTCCCCATGGCTGCAGAAGTCAGCTGCCCTCTCGCTGTATTATCACTGACAGTTCATACTGACTTCAGCAAGGCTCAGGCCTCTAGAACCTGCCTCCCTCAACTTGACTTTGGCCTCGGGCATCTGCAGTGTATTCTTGCAGAAGGGGCCCCCCCTGACCTTAGAGGATGTGGCCATGTACTCTCAAGCAGAGGGGCAACAACTGGGCACTCTATCGGGATGTGATGCTTGATAATAACTCCCTGGGTGAGGCTGATTTGGCACTTCGGAGCCCAAGGGAGAGGGCCCTGCCCCTTGTTCCCAGGTATCAGTCTCTTCTCTGCAGAGAAACGGTTTACTCTGCCTACCTACCCTCCCAGTTCCAGAGACCTCTCTCCTAGGTGCCATCCCCACAGGGATGGGAGAAAGAATGGGTGGATTCTCCTTCAGCATTCATACTCTCAATCTCCCCTCCCACAACACACTCTGCAGTCCTCCTCAATTCAGCTGACCTGTCCATACCGGGCACTTATCTCTTCTCTTGCCATTGAAAGCCCAGTGGGCAGCTCCCCAGTCTGCACAGCTCACCCATTGTCCTTACCGTCAACAGGGTTCCCAGTCCCTAAGCTGGAGCTGATCACCCAACTGGAGCACAGGGAGGAGATGTGGGTCCTGAATCTTCTAGGAGCTGAAAGACTAGAAGTCTTGAGATGCTGCAGGACAGATGAGGGTGGCACCATGCCCCCTTCAGAGACCCAGAGTGAGGGGTTGGTGTTATGATGACACTCTGTGGATCTCTCCAGAAACAGTCTGAAACAACATATATCCACATAGTAGACACACATGCTGGTCTGTCTGCTTTGCTTTTAAAAACTATATAATTACAATAGGGAAAATGTGTTCTTGTTTTAGTGATTGTCTTTATAGCTTTATAACATCCTCATGCCTTTCTTTATATGATATCTTTACTGTTTTCTTTCTTTCGGCAATAACTATTGGTCCCCTTCCAGTTTCAGCTGCAAAGTAGCATCTATACCCTTTTCTCCTTCGGCTGCTTTCCTCTACCTCCTAGTTTTAGTCACTAGTACCCTCTGAAAAGGAGTCCTGGGGTGGCGCTGTGGGCTAAGGCGTCAGACTGCAAAGTTGTTGAACTGCAAGGTCAGTGGTTCAAGCTCACCAGCTGCTAAATGCTGGCAAAACTGGAAATTGATTAGATCCATATCTCACACCATATACAAAAACTAACTCATCTTGGATTAAAGACTTAAATGTAAATCCCAAAACTATACAAATCACCAATGAAAAAATAAAGACAATTGTAGAACCCCTAATTTTGTCCTTATTTTTTCATTGAGCTATGGATCCTGTTTCTTTTGCAAATCACTTTCCAGTTTTGCCAGCACTATTTATTAAAGAGACTTATCTCTTCTCCATTTAATGTATTTGGACCTTCATCAAAGATCAGTTGATTGTATGTGGATTGATTTACTTTTGGGTTCTCAATTCTGTTCCATTGATCTATGTATCTTTTATTGTACCAACACCATGCTATTTTGACCACTGTAGCTGTGTATTAAATTTTGAAATCAGTGAGAGGCCTCCAATTTTATTCTTCTTCTTAAGCAGTACTTTGCTTATCTGAGGTCTCTTTCCTTTCCATATAAAGTTCATGATTATTTTTTTTCTCCATTTCTTGTTTTTGTAATCTGGATTGGGATTGCATTATATCTGTAGATTACTTTGGGTAGTATTGACATTTTCACAATGTTAATTCTTCCTATCCATAAGCATGGTATATTCTTCCATTTTTGTAAATCTCTTTTGGTTCCTTGTAGGGGTGTTTTGTAGTTATCTTTGTACAGGTCTTTTGTTTCTCTAGTTAGATGTACTTGTAAGTATTTCATCCTTTGGGTGGCTATTGTATATGGTATTGTTTTCCTAACTTCCTGTTCACAGCTGTCTTTATTAATATAGAGGAATCCACCTGATTTTTGTATATTGATCTTATACCCTGCCACTCTTCTGAATCTTCCAATAAATTCCAATATTTTTTTTGCTGAGTCTTTGGGATTTTCTACATATAGGATCATATCATCTGCAAATTGAGAGAGTTTTACTTCTTCTTTGCCAATTTGGATGCCTTTAATTTCCCTTTCTTGCCTTATAGCTCTGGCTAAGACTTTCAGCACAATATTGAATAGAGTGGTCATAAAGGGCATCTTTGTCTGGTTCCTGTTTGCAAAGGGAATGCTTTTGGTTTCTCTCCATTGAGAATGATATTTGTATATGTGGTTTTTGTATACATGCTCTTAATCATGTTGATGAATTTCCCTTCAATTCCTACTTTGTTGAATGTTTTTTATTAAGAATGTTGTTGTTGTCAGGTGCCATCGAGTCGGAAACAACTCATAGCAACCCCATGCACAGTAGAACGAAACAATG